TCACAATAAATATATTATAAAATACATTGTACATACCAGAAGAGGGCTTGTATAGGCATAACGCCTGTTGTCCAATTCCTTTTAAATTTGTATAAGATGCAATATTCAATACAATCTTTGTGAAATGAGAAAGAAAACACATATCGGACCAATCGGGAACCGACGGCACTTTCCGTAAACAAGAAAAAAGGATATTCTCGTTTACGGAAAGTGCCGACAGATTTCGATTGAAATGAGACGCGACAGTAAAAAGAAGGAGGGAAGAGGTCTTCGTTAAAAGGAGTCGAGCTGTCTGGTCACCAATGGCCGACACACCCTCGAGTGGTGATCCGCTGATACACGAACACATTGCATGGAACCATCTTGTGAATAGTTCAGCAAGCTATATATAGATCAAGCAGTTAAGTTTATCATGGAATGTACATATTGAATATGTTTGTAAGAAATTATCAAAGAAAATTGGAGTGTTAAAACGAATCAGAAATTTCATGTCCCAAGAAATGTCGAAAATGGTGTATACGACTATTGTTTTACCTCATTTTATGTACTGTTATTCAGTATGGAGCAATCCTACAAATGAGTCCCTTAAGGAAAGAATATTTAAACTTCAAAAGAGAGCAGCAAGAGTAATTCTAAATATAAGAGAAATTCGTACACCAACTTCGTTACTTTTAAACTGGATGCCTATTCACGATTTTTATACTTTTAGAAAATGTGTTCTAACTTATAAAATCCTTAACGACCAGGCTCCATGATTTTTAAAACAAAATTTATTTACCTATGTAACCCAGATTTCAACAAGAACCACAAGATCTTCTGCAATGAACCAGCTCTATATCCCCAAGTGTAGAACACGTTTTTACAAAAATTCATTTAGATACACTTGTACTATTTTATGGAATACTTTGGAAGAAACCATACGAACCACAACAAATTTCTGGCTTTTAAAAAGGCATATCTGGCCAATAATTTAAAAAAATATTAGATCATGAATACCATGTGTTACCGGCGGACCAAGTAGGTAGGGGATTCCCAATCACTGGGAAACCGAGTACTATATATTTCATAGTACAATATTTGAAATTATCCCTATGGTTCTGTTTATTATAATTTCCTGAGATAATCCTTATATTACCCTGTGACAAATATATTTATGTATTGACTTGTAATATGCTGTGATATTTTCTAATGTTCTAAATGCAATTCTGTGATATTTAGTGATACAATATAATAGGTTGTCTTAATAATGTATTGTACTATTTAACTACTTTTTTTATTTTATTGTGTGTCATATGTCTCTGTATGCGTGATGTGCTGTTGTTTTATGTATGTATATATAATGTGTTTTACAGGGCCATATTGTAAAGTAGATGAAAATCTAAATATGTTACCCTGTCTAAATAAAAGAATTTATAATTATTATTATTATTATTATAGCAGTGTTGCAGCTGAATAATTTTGTTCCTGCTTCTTGTGTTCCATTTTATCATGTACCGTCTCCAAGATAACGTCAAAAAGCTGTCAGATCAGTGCCGACGTTGATTCCAGAAGTACGCGTTTCTAACAACGACATGCACATGCTAACAATTCGACAGGGAAAATGAAGTGATCTGCCTGAGGAAAACTGTTTATCAGTAAACATGTACTGAATACCATTATTACTGTATGCTGTTGAGCTTTGACTCTTGCCATTCTAGAGGATATTTATAATTAATTGACATTCTAGAGGATATTTATAATTAATTGCCATTCTAGAGGATATTTATAATTAATTGCCATTCTAGAGAATATTTATAATTAATTGACATTCTAGAGGATATTTTAAATAATTGACATTCTAGAGGATATTTATAATTAATTGCCATTCTAGAGGATATTTATAATTAATTGCTGATGGACACCGTTCCCAATGGCATGCTGTAGTTATCAAGGGCAAACAGTTGACATTCCATTTTATCAGTTTTCAGGCACCAGCTTCATTAATGTAATAAGCAAAAACAAATCGTATTCCGGAAAAGTGGTCCTTTTATGGGAAAATTTTCAAAATAATGAAAAAACAGGAGTGAGCTGCGACCGGTGTTTGTTGGGTTAAAACAGTCTGTACTTCCATCTTCGTCTATGTTCCGATGTAGCCAAATGTGTGACACAGTTGACTTGTGACCAGATGAAGTGAAGGTTCGAATCCAACTTTAGGTTCCTTTTTTTTTTTTTTGAATAATTAAGTAATACGATATGTCTCCTGTCTGTGCATGTTTTGATCATGATTCATGGAGATTTCGTGCTCATTTTTTCCACTCCACGTGTTACAATATCTTTCCTTAATGGACAATGTACCTGTTGTTAGAGTATATGTTGTAACGAAATCCTACATGTGGGGTTGAACAATCAGACAGACAGACAGACTAGTATTGCCATGATTAGTTGTTCATTTAAAGTCCGCATATTTCATTGACAAATATTGATTCTTTTAAGTGTAAGGTTTTTTTCGGCTTGTGCTTGAAATGGTTTTAATGAGAAAGCGATGGCCAGGCAAGTAGTATCCCATTAACGCCATACTTCACCATCCTCGATAATCGAGGAGCTACGCTCACTGTCGCTCTCTGCACCCCTGCAAAATCGAAAGATCATTGTGCACAACCTTGTGGGCGAGACGAGAAGGCTAGTTTGATCATTTGATATATATAATAAAATAGACTAGCTTTGAAGTCGGGCGTCGTTTCTCCGTAATCTTCAAAGGACAGGTATCGGTTATATAATTATCGAGGATGATGATTTCACCCGTGTACGTTTTACCTGGCCACTGTACCATGCTATAATCACATGTAGCCTTTTTGATGTCATATCAACCTGTTTAATACGTGTGCAATGTGAGGTACGTTATCTTGTGGGTAAGATTACACTTCCCGTTGGAAAACACAGGTAATGTCTTGAAGCTTTTCATTAGAAATGGGATTTTATCATTATGTTCGATTAAACAAAATGTCGGAAACTAAGGAATTGAATAATGTTTTACTGTACATATATAATCGTTACTGGAACTTTGTAGGACAATTGACGTGGCGTCATAGTCTTCAGGAAAGCAGTATTGAACGATTGATAATTATCAGACGAACAAGCTAAGGTTATATTTATAGGATAACAAAAATCTTCAACTTGTTTCGTCAGGCGCGTAGCTACCATGTAAGCCAATAAGCCCGGGCTTGCACATGATTTTGAAAAGTATAGGTTTTCATGACATTATTTTTTCTAGCTGATACTATACAGTGGAGTTTGAGTTTTGAATATATAGTATACATATGCAATTCCTCAGATATGATACAGTGTTAATAGTTAGTACAAAAATGTATGAAGTTTAGAAATGTCCATTGCATTAATGGACAGTTCCAGGCGGAACTAAACTGCTCGATTGAGTAAATTGAGAAACTCACGCCTGGCGCAAACGACTCCGAGTATGGCACAGTGGACACAGACAATCAATGTGTTTTTTTTATGAAAATATCAATTTGGGGCACATTCGGCCCCTTTTGCCGGGGCACGTTCGGCCCCTTTTGCCGGGGCACATTCGGCCACCCCGAATGCAACTGTTATTGTGCCAAGTGACGTCACTATTGTTAACGTCACCCAATTGACCACAAAAATAATATTTTTAGGTCGCAAAAATTAAGATTTTTTTTCTTTGTATTCACTGATTTGTTCTGGACTTATTTTCCAACAGAATTGAATGAAATTCCATACACTTATTAGTAAATTGTCTTCTCTATCCTTCATGCCATACTTGCCCTGGTAGGGGCCGGATTTACCTCAGGGCGGGGCTCGTCCGGCCCCCAACTCTCTCGACCTAAAAAGTCCAATAATTCCCAAAATATGGTCTTGTTTACGATTTGGTTATTAGTTTATGAAAGACGATACATTTCTTTTCTAAATGACATATATAAATATGCATTTCAATAGTATAGTACATGCCTTCCATAACGTCTTGAAAAAAAAAAGGGGCCGTGTTTGCCCCGGTCCCCCCTACACATGTATTATACATGTGTAGGGGAGACCGGGACAAGTCCGGCCCCTTTTTTAAAACTATATTATAAATTACAACATATCATTATCTCAGACATCAGGACGTGGGAAATGGCTCCTGAGACGTTCTAGAAAACAAAATTTTCATGGGGGAGACCCCCCAGACCCCCCTTACGGGAGGNTCGTATCGTATGAGATAAATGTCAGATTCTCGCTTATATGTCTGAACACGTCACAGCTGTCTATCAGTTTTAAAGAGTTGTACTATTCCATATGCTATCTATGTATTTCACATTAAAATTTGGACCAGGCAGTACTTTCTCGTTAATCGGATATTTATCATCGAAAAAATAAGTAACAGTCACGTGACATAAGTATTTAATATTACATTTGTACGTCAATTTTCCATTTGTTTTTATGTTAATTTACTTTCATAAAATCGATTTATCTTACTATGATTTTCGTTAAAAACTATGTAACGTGAAAGAACTATTGCACGTCATTGTAAAACATGTACCAGCCTACTTAACAATTTTCTTTTGCTGACGCCAACAGTTGTGATAGTCGTCAAATGAGTCTGCAAGGCACCGTCCTCTACCGTTTAAATACATAATAATGATACTAATTCGAGGTTCTTATATACCGCTTTAGCACAACCTCGTTCGTAGGTCGTCTCAAAGCGGTTCACAACTATTATCCGTGGTTATAGGGTCTTTGCAACCAACCAATATCTTTCTCAACTCCCTGGGGAGCATAACGCCGGTGCTGCAATTTCGGCGCTCACTGCTAGCATTCAACAGTTCTGGCACTGCCCAACCACGTACTCATTTACAGCTGTGTAGACTGGAAAAAGCGGAGTAAAGTATCTTGCTTAAAGAAGCAAGACAGTACCGTGCCGTGACTCGAACCCGCAACCCTTTGGTTATGAGCCCGGCGTCCTACCACTACACTACCGCGCCTTTTAAAGAAATAGAAACAACAAATCAGTGGATTAAAAGAAATATATTTAATGAGTTAATATACAGGATAATGTAACAATATGCATAATGAGAGGTGTATCAAACGATGTCCATGTCGCTTGTAAATTCTGCTGCTGTGTTGTGTGTGTTCAATCTTATCAACCGGAAATGAGGATTAGAGTTTCATAAACCCCTTTTTGTTGAACACTGTAGTTAAAATCAACTCAGTTTTTTCATCAATTACAGTCAAATCTATTTTCACACTAGAGTATCTGATAATCATTTCAAAGATGAAACACGGCGAATTTTTTTGAACGCAAGTCCAAGTGAAGACGTTAATATAAAATACAGCGAGAGTGTTGTTAATTAGCGGCATACACCTGTACTTTTCCACATTCGATAAAACCTGCAATTTGGCAAGGTGACGCGTGCATGTGACCTGTCTCCCAAATCATTGCTTATCTCAACCTGTTTCCGAAGAACACCACGATGTAGTCCTGTATTCAGAGTTACTGTATGACTGGTAAGATACTTTGCTAAGGTCTCCTGTGATTTTTGTTGTACATGATTAATGGCGGCCCACTCTTTTTGTGTATGGTTATTATAAAACGTAGCTGCCTGATAGCGCCAGAATGATTTAAGACGCCCTGTGCTACAGTTACCAGATTTCTAATTCGATTCAGAATGAACATACGATAGACATTTTAAGAATAAACTGTCGTAGAGAGTACGTGTCCTTGTAATAAAAAGTGCCTGACACTACCCTAAGGAGGTCGTAATGGTCCTTATACAGGATATTTCCTTATGCATATATCTGTCTTATTCGTAAGTGTGAGTTGTGGTTTAAATCATACGCATTAATTTAGAATTATGTGTATTTACAGATCTAGGACGACTAATGATGACAACACACCAGAGACAAAATAAATAAACTAATATGTACATAAATACTAAAATGAAATTTGACCTGAAAAAAAGCGAGTTTACATTTTTAAGTCATGGTCCCGTTTTGTAAAAACATATTTGAAATTTCCTCGCTTTCTACTGTCAACAATTATAGAACGATGAAACATGTTACTCTAGACAATTCTGACCTAACCCTATCCGGAAAATGAAATGCACCTACTCTCTAGCAAGGAAAGAATAACTTCTTATCTCTAGTCTGGAAAACTCACTCTTGCTATTTCAACCGAAAAAATACCTGAATAGTCTCTAATCCGAAAAAAACTCCCTCTTGCTATATTATCCGGAACATTAACTTGTAACCTCTATTCCGGAAACTTACACTTGCTATTTATGTGCGAAAACTACATATGACCTTTTTTTCTACTAATTAACCCGGAAATGTATGTCTTCACTTCCGAGTGGTCGGGTAGCGCAATGGATAACGCACTCGCTTTTAACCAAGATAGCCGGGGTTCGATTCCCCAATCTGACGTGAAAAGGTATGAGGTCACCTATCCGTTCACATGGGTTTTCTCCGAGTACTCCGATTTCCTCCCACATTATGACCCCTGCGCGATACCGTTCGGGCCAACAAGAGTGATTAATATAAGTTGATAAAATTTGTTTCACAATTGTTGTAAAAAAAATAAAGTTCATTTATTAAACATCACTACCTTTCCTATCCGGAAAACTCAACATTCCGACTCTTTATTATATTCGGATATTTGTCCATTGTGTCTCATTAATCCGGAAGTATGTTAATCGTGAGTTACAGAACCCAGACGTGCGACGCGTAAAAAGAAGTTGGGTTAAACCGATCTAACAGCAGTAACATATATAATAACTAGTAAGACAATGAGGGATCTACGGGACTGTATTGCACTTCTATCGCCCAGCCTGCTGGTTGTTGTTTATAAGATTAGGACTGTTGTATTGGAGACATCTATAGGTATCGGTTGTTAAGCTTCACTTGTACATTTTAACGGATCAAAACGCTTGAAATCCCGAACTGAAAAAATGAAACTGACAAACTAGTGCTCCAGGTACATCTTCCAAAACTTTGCTATAGGTTTATTAGCCGAAGATAAGTATAAATCAGTGCTGGGAGGCTCTGTACGGGGTGCCACGTGTTCGGTTACACTTTCGTTCCAAAGAGGTGTTCAGAAATCCCCGATTATCTCCTCTGTCCCTTTAGTGTGGTATATTATACCATCCTATTATCACAACCTTTATATCATTTGTTTATATACAACATACGGATCATACCAAAAACACATGATAAAGGACAATATCAATTAAACATAGCAGACGATGTAGATTTCAGAAGGTCAAATGTCAAAGTAAACTTGGTCTTCTCCTCCAAAATGGCTGCTACGAAAAGCGAACCTTGTATCCAGGTATCCATGACAACACGACAAAATGACGTAAAATCTGATATGTAGCTGATGGTTTTTCTGTTTATGATCACGGGATCATTTTGAATGGCTTGGTCACTGTCGATGTTGTTTATCGTCGGCCTGTAAAGGTAAAAAGAGCGTTTTTAGTAGTCTAAACATCTTCATCTAGCTACACATAGAAACTGTGCAATACATTGATTCGAGTACGACTTCTACATTTCTATACTACACGTTTGATAAACGTGCTGTGTATCAATGCCTACACGATAGAAAATAATAGGAGCCAAGAAATATCTTCAAAAGTCACAGTTGCTATACTAGTTTTTTCATGTTTATCGGGTATTTGAGAGTCTCAACGCCATGTGTTGTACAGTATCTGGACGAGGACATGTCTATTTGTCGGACTTGGAGTTGCGCGGTTAATTATTATAGTAAAGAGTTAAGCATCCGTTAAGTACTCTATCGGCACAAACACCGTATACAGTTTCAAATACTTCCGTTTCTCTCTCGGCACAACTTCCGTTTACCATTTATACTTCCGTTTCTCTCTCGGCACAACTTCCGTTTACCATTTATACTTCCGTTTCTCTCTCGGCACAACTTCCGTTTATTTATACTTCCGTTTTTGCCCTTTACACACCGACCGTTTATTGTGATAACTCACCTCCATACTTATAACATGGGTAGGGCACAAAGTTTGGTCCACTCCTTCTGAGACAGTACGACAGATGGCGCCTCCTCTTGTCAACGCTGTTTGTTTCGGAGGGTGCCTCGCTCTTCTCTACGAACCCTTCTGGCGTTGGGAACACTTCCTCGTTCACCTTCCCTTTACTGACAAGCTGCAGTGAAGAGAGCGGCAGTAGTCATTACGACAATCTGGTGTGGAGATATCTCATTATTGTTTTGTGACATTAATAAATGTTTAGACCTATAATTGGATGTTGAAAAAACATGTCAATTTCCGAACTATAAATTCACATATCCGACCCTTCGACAGATATCAGGTGGTCATTCTGACTAAGTGAATACTGACTAAACAAACACTGAACCCGATGTCAGTATAATGTGTCGGGGTAGAATAGTGTCCTGTGTGCTTTCGGCATGGTAGTGCAGTGAGGTAGCACTCTAAAGTCGGCATCAGATCAGCACTATCGCAAGGAGCCATACACACCAACATTCCATCTCCGCCACAACTACCAATATCTACGCAATCATTACACATAAGGAGGCACCAAACAAAACAAAACGATAGAGCGCTAAAGCAAGTTTGGGTTATCTCCCCTTATCCATGTTATTTGAACACGTGGTAATAATATTTGGAAACCGTCAGACTTACGTACGTGTACCTACGACTGAGAATACATTAGCTACTGATGGTCTTCTTTAGCCAGATGGACAATATAATAGAGCAGGAGTTTAGCTAGCGTTTATGCATAAAATGTGAGCGTTAAGGTACTTGCCAACCCTGGAAGGCGTTAGGTTGTTTCGTGATTGTAAACAAACATGCTAGTACACATTTTTTTATATAATTTCTGACTAGCAAAACATCACGCCATGGAGCCATGCTGCTGGAGTTTAACGTCCTCCTAACAACCATGACAGTACGCGTATGAATACTGCGACAAACGGATGCAAATACCATGTAGTTGCTATTTACTTAAGAGTAAGCAAGAGGGCTATCTTAAACAAAAGCAATATAATACCCTGACAAATGAACTGCGAGTGTTTCAACGATATAAGGATTCGACACAATGGCTCTAAGCGTTAATAAAGAAGCACGCCCACCAGACAACACCAGACTTATCAACGTGGTCTGGCCGTGAAAGACTTTGTAGTCAATGGGGAACCTATAGGATCATGTCCGAACTGTGAACTCTGATAGGTATTCTAACTTACTTCTTTTAAGGCATTGTAGACAAGCTCTTGCATCATGTCGCCCAACTCCCTTGTGTCCATGTATTTCGGTCTTTTCTCCTCAAGGTGTTCCTGAAATCAACAAGTTTTAGTGTTTTACATCTATTTGCTTCTCCTCAAGGTGTTCCTGAAATCAACAAGTTTTAGTGTTTTACATCTATTTGCTTCTCCTCAAGGTGTTCCTGAAATCAACAAGTTTTAGTGTTTTACATCTATTTGCTTCTCCTCAAGGTGTTCCTGAAATCAACAAGTTTTAGTGTTTTACATCTATTTGCTTCTCCTCAAGGTGTTCCTGAAATCAACAAGTTTTAGTGTTTTACATCTATTTGCTTCTCCTCAAGGTGTTCCTGAAATCAACAAGTTTTAGTGTTTTACATCTATTTGCTTCTCCTCAAGGTGTTCCTGAAATCAACAAGTTTTAGTGTTTTACATCTATTTGCTTCTCCTCAGGGTGAAACAACGAAACAATTAACTAACAGTGTTGTAAAACTATTTGTTCTCACATGAGACTTTTTAGTAAATGCGATTGCTATTATTCCAACACGAGCCCGTGGGCGCTACATTTCCATGCTTTGTTCCAGTATGTGTGATGTTTTCGCTATTATTTGATGACGCGCGCGAGGTAGAGAACCGTTGCCAATATACACGTGGTCTTCCCCAGGTAAACAGTTAGACAACTATCTGTGAACACTTCACAGTGATATCAACGTTTGTATTGCATTGTAACAGTGTATACAGACTGTAGTCTCCTACAAATGAAGATCAAGTAAAGTTTCAAATAGCATGTTTGGGGGTATTGCCATGATTTAAAACTGGACATGTTGCAACATTCCAAGGTTTATCGGCATTTAAAGATATTTAAGACACATGAAACTGTTAAAAATAATCCTGAAGATAGAATAAAAATAATATCAAAATGAAGAAAAACGAACAAAAAATCATTCAACTTGTAGGGTATTTAAGGGGTTGTAGTGTACAAGTTAAGCTTGGTTTTCAATCCAGATATACGACTACTTGGTATATTTGTGTTCTGTATCTAATATTTGGGTGTAGTACCACCGACACGCTCCTTAATACTATCACAGGTACATTTGTACCTATCACGAGTGAGAGAAAACAAACAAGAACAAATTCATTTTATATATTTGCGGATGCATTAACGTTGCACTGTGTTCAAAGACTGTTGTCTCCTACAGCGGGAAATCAAGTAATGCTAACGGGATTGAGGTATTACCTTGAATAACAACTGCATCATTTTGATTTTTTTTTTTAATCACTGACTTCATAGTTGTTGTAAAATAACTAAAGTTCATAGCATATGAATAGATGCATTAAATGCAAAAGTAGTCCCTTTTTCTCATTCGCGATATGTTTACATGATGAAATTATACTGAATAGGTAATGCTAGTGATTACACTGTTTCCTGGTGAGTTTGTTTGAGCCTGTTGATGGTGCTAAGTGAGCGATGTTCTGTATGCTGTGATACTCTGTCGTTTTATTTGTATTACCACCAGAGTAATTAAACTCGGGTTAATGCCATGCTATTATGTTCCATATAAAAACAACAAAGTCTGGTAAAATGTTTGATGCGCATGTGACAATTATGCGATGCGATAGGCAATTTAGAAACCATGCGTTGCCTTCTAATCCCAAAGTGTATGGTATATGGATTGCATTTTTAAAAGTCTGTTACTAAATAAATGTGTTATTTAAAACTCATCAACTTGATTTCCATCCCGTTACAAGTTTCTGAAGGTAAAGAAGCAGAAATGTATTGAATTGTTCCAACTGTTCAATCAGATAAAAGTACTTTTGGGAGAACTGGAATCGTTTGATTAGGTAGCATTAACAGCTAACGGTCACCCGCACATAATCAGCTCGCGTCTTTCTCACCTGTATCATTCCAGAAAGTATGATTGCTTTCCCGCCGGTGAGTTATTACCTGTGTAGTTTCCTATCTTTGCCTGATACCGAACCCTCATTACTTTTTTTTCCTATAGCTCTTCTAGATTGGGTTGATTACCTTGAAAGCTCGTAAGAAGTGTGTTTGCCTCTCTGCTCCGAGAAATTGATTACACCTCAGTTTCCTGGGAAATGTATCTTTGTCATCGGTTTCCTTTGACTTATAGAAATGACTGCTGTTATTGGGGATTCAAGTCGTTGATTACACGACCGATTCATCATGCAGAACGTATGTTTCGAATGAAAACCTTTGACATGTCTTAAACTGACATATGAATGGTGGTTTGATTGAAGTCTTTTTCAACACGTATACAGTGAAATGTTCTCGGCGGTTGACGAGGGACGCACCATTGCTATTATGTAAGCCACGCACGAAATGCTAAAGACGCAAATGCAGTGTAGCATTGAAAAGATAATGTTCAATTCTTCTGTATTGATATGGATTAATTAATATGAATATGGCCAAACCGATATAATTTCTATATTTTTTAGTAATTGTATCTGTTTAAGTATGAAAGAATTTTCAAGAGTATCGGAATACAATTTGTTTGGAGTTTAACGTCCCCACAATAGCCCATATTCGATATCCAGGGGTTATGTTCACTTTCGCTCTCTACACCCCTGGGTACATGTCTGAGCCTCTATAAACTGGTCTCATGTCAAGTGTTGCATGCTACTGTCTTTAAAATTATATTAATCATTCGGGCCCGTATTCATGAAACCATTCTCATGCTCAAACCAAGATTCTGTGCTCAAGACCACTTTCCTTTGCCAATTACAAATTAATATAAAATGAATATTTTAGCAATGATAGGTAAGATATTTTGAAAGGGTTTAAGCTGATTACTTTTTTAAGTGTTTACACTTGACTTTTTTAACATGTTACATGATTTAAGCAGGTTACAAGAAAGTCGGCTTGAGCACAGAAATATTGCTTCAGCATAGGAACAGTTTCATGAATACGGACCTAGGTCTTTATGATTGATATTACAGTCAAACGTCACGTGTCTTAGCAGTAAGGTTATAGCTCCATGTTAACTCTGACACCATTTCATCGTTTAAATGTATGATATCATTGTCCGATGCGTTATACGAAATCTTGACTTTGCTATCATCCGACCTCTGCCCTAACCTTTGTACCTATGGTTCCCCGTTGGTATTTCACTGTAATAACAACGTTTATAAGGACTCGGCGAATTTGATGGAGTGGCGTTTAACGTTATTGTAATGTCAGTGCAATCTGATACTCGGGAAGATAGAGGTTCGTTGTTTTTATGCAAATGCACACGAGAATAACGTCCCACGGTACTTGTGCATCAGAATTGTTTATATTAATTATTCAAAACAAGTTCAATAGTGAAGGCTCCATGGGAGTAATTCAGTCTTCTATTTGTATATTATCCCGATAGAGGTTCATCATACAATTTTACACCGCAAAAGTCAATATATGGGTGTCACCTCACCGTGTTAGATATTTTGTTTTAGAATTCTTGTAACTTCACACTGACCCATTACCGGAAAAACAGGAAAGTCGCTCAAATGTTTCTGATGATGTAACTCTGGTGTCATCGAGAATGTGACTACGGTTGACTTATATGAATAGCAGTCTTGTGGCAGGGTGATATGTGATACACTGTTTTGTGACTGGGTGATATGTAATACACTGTTTTGTGACTTACTGATATGTTATACACTGTCTTGTGAGTGGTTGATATGTGATACACTATCTTGTGAGTGGTTGATATGTGATACACTATCTTGTGAGTGGTTGCTATGTGATACACTGTCTTGTGAGTGGTTGCTATGTAATACACTGTCTTGTGAGTGGTTGATATGTAATACACTGTCTTGTGAGTGGTTGATATGTAATATACTGTCTTGTGAGTGGTTGATATGTAATGCACTGTTTTGTGACTGATCGATATGTAATACACTGTTTTGTGACTGACTGATATGTAATACACTGTCTTGTGACTTGTTGATATGTAATACACTGTTTTGTGACTGACTGATATGTAATACACTGTCTTGTGGCAGGGTGATATGTAATACACTGTTTTGTGACTGACTGATATGTTATACACTGTCTTGTGACTGGTAAATAATACACTATGTTGTGAGTGGTTGATTATAATACAATGTGTTGTGATTGGCTGATGGGTAATACACTTGCGACTAGTTGATATGTAATACACTGTCTTGTGAGTGGTTGATATGTGATACACTATCTTGTGAGTGGTTGCTATGTGATACACTGTCTTGTGAGTGGTTGCTATGTAATACACTGTCTTGTGAGTGGTTGATATGTAATATACTGTCTTGTGAGTGGTTGATATGTAATACACTGTCTTGTGAGTGGTTGCTATGTGATACACTATCTTGTGAGTGGTTGATATGTGATACACTATCTTGTGAGTCGTTGCTATGTAATACACTGTCTTGTGAGTGGTTGATATGTAATATACTGTCTTGTGAGTGGTTGATATGTAATACACTGTTTGTGAGTGGTTGATATGTAATACACTGTCTTGTGACTGACTGATATGTTATACACTGTCTTGTGAGTGGTTGATATGTAATGCACTGTTTTGTGACTGATCGATATGTAATACACTGTTTTGTGACTGACTGATATGTGATACACTGTCTTGTGAGTGATTGATATGTAATACACTGTCTTGTGACTGACTGATATGTAATACACTGTCTTGTGACTGACTGATATGTTATACACTGTCTTGTGACTGGTTATATGTAATACACTGTCTTGTGACTGGTTGATATGTAATACACTGTCTTGTGACTAGTTGATATGTAATACACTGTCTTGTGACTGACTGATATGTAATACACTGTCTTGTGTCTGGTTGATATGTAATACACTGTCTTGTGACATACTGATATGTTATACACTGTCTTGTGACTTACTGATATATTATACACTGTCTTGTGACTGGTTGATATGTAATACACTGTCTTGTGAGTGGTTGATATGTAATACACTGTGTTGTGACTAGTTGATATGTAATACACTGTCTTGTGACTGGTTGATATGTAATACACTATCTTGTGACTGACTATGTAATACACTGTCTTGTGACTGGTTGATATGTAATACACTGTCTTGTGACTGGTGATATGTAATACACTGTTTTGTGACTGTTGATATGTAATACACTGTCTTGTGACTGGTTGATATGTAATACACTGTCTTGTGACTGGTTGATATGTAATACACTGTTTTGTGACTAGTTGATATGTAACACACTGTTTTGTGAATGGTTAAAGGGTACAACAGTGTCTGATGATAACGATGGTACAAAGTGCTAAGTAATATGGACACGTAATAAAATATCTTACCACCACAGACCACAAATCCTATTGACACGGCTTGTTTTATCACACAATAGCTGTTTCAGTATCCTGGCTATCGAATAATGTCTCTTTCTGAAGTGAATCCCCAAAGGCTAAGAGGGAGTGTGTGTAACGGTAATAGACACGGGCTAGCGGCGCGGCCACTGGACGCGTCTATCCGATGTCCAAAAGTAAGCCTGCGTGTCATGAGAGTAGGGAGTGATCATATTAAATGGAACATTTCCTTACTGCAATGATGGCGAATATTTAACTGTCTCTCCTGACTGTCTAGATGTATGGAGAGGGCGGACATGCTTTTATAACAAGGATAATATTTACCTGTGTTTCCTGACTGTCTAGAAGTATGGAGAGGGCTGGCATGCTTTTATAACAAGGACAATATTTACCTGTGTTTCCTGGCTGTCTAGAGGTATGGAGAGGGCGGGCATGCTTTTATAACAAGGACAATATTTACCTGTGTTTCATGGCTGTCTAGAGATATGGAGAGGGCGGGCATGATGTAATATCAAGGACAATATTTACCTGAGTTTCCTGACTGTCTAGAGGTGTATGGAGAGTGCGGGCATGATGTTATAACAAGGACAATATTTACCTGTGTTTCCTGACTGTCTAGATGTATGGAGAGGGCGGGCATGATGTAATAACAAGGACAATATTTTCCTGTGTTTCCTGACTGTCTAGATGAATGGAGAGGGCGGACATGATTTTATAACAAGGACAATATTGACCTGAGTTTCCTGACTGTCTAGAGGTATGGATAGGGCGGGCATGATGTAATATCAAGGACAATATTGACCTGAGTTTCCTGACTGTCTAGATGAATGGAGAGGGCGGACATGATTTTATAACAAGGACAATATTTGCCTGTGTCTCCTGACTGTCTAGAGGTATGGAGAGGGCGGGCATGATGTAATAACAAGGACAACATTTACCTGTGTTTCATGGCTGTCTAGAGGTATGGAGAGGGCGGGCATGCTTTTATAACAAGGACAATATTTACCTGTGTTTCATGGTTGTCTAGAGGTATGGAGAGGGCGGGCATGCTTTTATAACAAGGACAATATTTACCTGTGTTTCCTGGCTGTCTAGAGGTATGGAGAGGGCGGGCATGATGTAATAACAAGGACAATATTTACCTGTGTTTCCTGGCTGTCTAGAGGTATGGAGAGGGCGGGCATGATGAGAAGGAGGGACAGGAACATACTGAGGACCGCGGTCACGTTGATATCCATGGCTGAAAATTCAAAAACAAAAGATATATTGACAATTTAAGATAATGAAGCTGCATGAAATTGCTACAGTAGCAGACTGAGTCAATATGCTTTTTCAAAGCCAAGACTTAATACTAGTAACTTGACTTGGCTGTAATGAAATATCATTGATACATTTGAACATCATTATGCTGGCACCATTGTCGGAGGAAACATTGGCTTTATAAAGAGGTATAACGATAAGTGGTTTGAAACGTACAAAACAAATCTTAAGAAAAAGAGGTAAAATATAAATATGTTGACGATCAGAGAGAGGAAAACTTAAGGAATGGCATTATATAGATGTTTTATATAACTACATGATGAAATTCCTTAATATAAGGTGTTAAAGAACATTTGAATCATTAAAAAAGATGGACGTATGAAAATTGTCAAGAGTCATGTACTGCATTTGGTATAAAACATTGTGACGTTACAATTGAAATGACTTCATAAATTGAATATTAACCTGCAGTTTAAAAAAATAGTAACACTGGGTCAATATCTCAAAACACGGACCACCACGTGGTTACGATCCAGCCAATGAGGATGTAGGAAAATGTGTGTCATCTAATACAATGTTTCATTTTTTTTCTCATTTCAACAAATTTTATTGACAAAGTTGATACAAGTCAATTAGATGGAATAACAGGCAAGGCCTATATAAATTCTCTCCAGCGGTAGCTAAAGTAACGGATTCTGTTATTTTTGATTTGATTTAATCAATACATCAATTTTGAAATAAAAATTATAAACTAAAAAATTAAAAGGGATGTAACTCCTTCTTAATTAACATAACTGAAATGCAAATACATTCACACTTCTCACATCACACACAAAACACTTCCACAGCTATTATTTATTTTTATAACATTTTACAATATATATAAGCTATATAGCTATCAAATCACATAGATATTGGCAGACATTGACAAAAAGTCCATATAAAATGTATATATATATAATGTTATTTTGAGATGATCGCAAGTTATGTGTGACGTCCTGTAAAGTGTGTCATAGAAACGCTTAGCGTGACATGAAAACACACCAACAGAACGTGTCCGCGGAACGTATGGATACACTAAAGAACATGTGTATCAACGCTTGTAGAGAAGGTATGGATACACTATAGAACATGAGTATCAACGCTTGTAGAGAGGTATAGATACACTATAGAACATGTGTATCAACGCTTGTAGAGAGGTATGGATACACTCTAGAACATGTGTATCAACGCTTGTAGAGAGGTATGGATACACTCTAGAACATGTGTATCAACGCTTGTAGAGAGGTATGGATACACTCTAGAACATGTGTATCAACGCTTGTAGAGAGGTATGGATACACTCTAGAACATGTGTATCAACGCTTGTAGAGAGGTATGGATACACTCTAGAACATGTGTATCAACGCTTGTAGAGAGGTATGGATACACTCTAGAACATGTGTATCAACGCTTGTAGAGAGGTATGGATACACTCTAGAACATGTGTATCAACGCTTGTAGAGAGGTATGGATACACTCTAGAACATGTGTATCAACGCTTGTAGAGAGGTATGGATACACTCTAGAACATGTGTATCAACGCTTGTAGAGAGGTATGGATACACTCTAGAACATGTGTATCAACGCTTGTAGAGAGGTATGGATACACTCTAGAACATGTGTATCAACGCTTGTAGAGAGGTATGGATACACTCTAGAACATGTGTATCAACGCTTGTAGAGAGGTATGGATACACTCTAGAACATGTGTATCAACGCTTGTAGAGAGGTATGGATACACTCTAGAACATGTGTATCAACGCTTGTAGAGAGGTATGGATACACTCTAGAACATGTGTATCAACGCTTGTAGAGAGGTATGGATACACTCTAGAACATGTGTATCAACGCTTGTAGAGAGGTATGGATACACTCTAGAACATGTGTATCAACGCTTGTAGAGAGGTATGGATACACTCTAGAACATGTGTATCAACGCTTGTAGAGAGGTATGGATACACTCTAGAACATGTGTATCAACGCTTGTAGAGAGGTATGGATACACTCTAGAACATGTGTATCAACGCTTGTAGAGAGGTATGGATACACTCTAGAACATGTGTATCAACGCTTGTAGAGAGGTATGGATACACTCTAGAACATGTGTATCAACGCTTGTAGAGAGGTATGGATACACTCTAGAACATGTGTATCAACGCTTGTAGAGAGGTATGGATACACTCTAGAACATGTGTATCAACGCTTGTAGAGAGGTATGGATACACTCTAGAACATGTGTATCAACGCTTGTAGAGAGGTATGGATACACTCTAGAACATGTGTATCAACGCTTGTAGAGAGGTATGGATACACTCTAGAACATGTGTATCAACGCTTGTAGAGAGGTATGGATACACTCTAGAACATGTGTATCAACGCTTGTAGAGAGGTATGGATACACTCTAGAACATGTGTATCAACGCTTGTAGAGAGGTATGGATACACTCTAGAACATGTGTATCAACGCTTGTAGAGAGGTATGGATACACTCTAGAACATGTGTATCAACGCTTGTAGAGAGGTATGGATACACTCTAGAACATGTGTATCAACGCTTGTAGAGAGGTATGGATACACTCTAGAACATGTGTATCAACGCTTGTAGAGAGGTATGGATACACTCTAGAACATGTGTATCAACGCTTGTAGAGAGGTATGGATACACTCTAGAACATGTGTATCAACGCTTGTAGAGAGGTATGGATACACTCTAGAACATGTGTATCAACGCTTGTAGAGAGGTATGGATACACTCTAGAACATGTGTATCAACGCTTGTAGAGAGGTATGGATACACTCTAGAACATGTGTATCAACGCTTGTAGAGAGGTATGGATACACTCTAGAACATGTGTATCAACGCTTGTAGAGAGGTATGGATACACTCTAGAACATGTGTATCAACGCTTGTAGAGAGGTATGGATACACTCTAGAACATGTGTATCAACGCTTGTAGAGAGGTATGGATACACTCTAGAACATGTGTATCAACGCTTGTAGAGAGGTATGGATACACTCTAGAACATGTGTATCAACGCTTGTAGAGAGGTATGGATACACTCTAGAACATGTGTATCAACGCTTGTAGAGAGGTATGGATACACTCTAGAACATGTGTATCAACGCTTGTAGAGAGGTATGGATACACTCTAGAACATGTGTATCAACGCTTGTAGAGAGGTATGGATACACTCTAGAACATGTGTATCAACGCTTGTAGAGAGGTATGGATACACTCTAGAACATGTGTATCAACGCTTGTAGAGAGGTATGGATACACTCTAGAACATGTGTATCAACGCTTGTAGAGAGGTATGGATACACTCTAGAACATGTGTATCAACGCTTGTAGAGAGGTATGGATACACTCTAGAACATGTGTATCAACGCTTGTAGAGAGGTATGGATACACTCTAGAACATGTGTATCAACGCTTGTAGAGAGGTATGGATACACTCTAGAACATGTGTATCAACGCTTGTAGAGAGGTATGGATACACTCTAGAACATGTGTATCAACGCTTGTAGAGAGGTATGGATACACTCTAGAACATGTGTATCAACGCTTGTAGAGAGGTATGGATACACTCTAGAACATGTGTATCAACGCTTGTAGAGAGGTATGGATACACTCTAGAACATGTGTATCAACGCTTGTAGAGAGGTATGGATACACTCTAGAACATGTGTATCAACGCTTGTAGAGAGGTATGGATACACTCTAGAACATGTGTATCAACGCTTGTAGAGAGGTATGGATACACTCTAGAACATGTGTATCAACGCTTGTAGAGAGGTATGGATACACTCTAGAACATGTGTATCAACGCTTGTAGAGAGGTATGGATACACTCTAGAACATGTGTATCAACGCTTGTAGAGAGGTATGGATACACTCTAGAACATGTGTATCAACGCTTGTAGAGAGGTATGGATACACTCTAGAACATGTGTATCAACGCTTGTAGAGAGGTATGGATACACTCTAGAACATGTGTATCAACGCTTGTAGAGAGGTATGGATACACTCTAGAACATGTGTATCAACGCTTGTAGAGAGGTATGGATACACTCTAGAACATGTGTATCAACGCTTGTAGAGAGGTATGGATACACTCTAGAACATGTGTATCAACGCTTGTAGAGAGGTATGGATACACTCTAGAACATGTGTATCAACGCTTGTAGAGAGGTATGGATACACTCTAGAACATGTGTATCAACGCTTGTAGAGAGGTATGGATACACTCTAGAACATGTGTATCAACGCTTGTAGAGAGGTATGGATACACTCTAGAACATGTGTATCAACGCTTGTAGAGAGGTATGGATACACTCTAGAACATGTGTATCAACGCTTGTAGAGAGGTATGGATACACTCTAGAACATGTGTATCAACGCTTGTAGAGAGGTATGGATACACTCTAGAACATGTGTATCAACGCTTGTAGAGAGGTATGGATACACTCTAGAACATGTGTATCAACGCTTGTAGAGAGGTATGGATACACTCTAGAACATGTGTATCAACGCTTGTAGAGAGGTATGGATACACTCTAGAACATGTGTATCAACGCTTGTAGAGAGGTATGGATACACTCTAGAACATGTGTATCAACGCTTGTAGAGAGGTATGGATACACTCTAGAACATGTGTATCAACGCTTGTAGAGAGGTATGGATACACTCTAGAACATGTGTATCAACGCTTGTAGAGAGGTATGGATACACTCTAGAACATGTGTATCAACGCTTGTAGAGAGGTATGGATACACTCTAGAACATGTGTATCAACGCTTGTAGAGAGGTATGGATACACTCTAGAACATGTGTATCAACGCTTGTAGAGAGGTATGGATACACTCTAGAACATGTGTATCAACGCTTGTAGAGAGGTATGGATACACTCTAGAACATGTGTATCAACGCTTGTAGA